GGCTAACCATTGCAACCATTTAAAACGGCTTCCAAACATTGTAAGACAGTTTTACAGGAACGAAAAACAGACATCGTTGTGTGAAAATCCCCCATAGGAAACATTGCTGTGTGAGGCGGCAAATTTAACAGAAAAAGGCATCGTTGTGTGAATTCATCGTTGTGTGAGGCACCCGTTGTGTGAGGTACCACTGTATCATAAATTTGACTACTTCAGTTTTTGTCCAATCCTTTCAGAAAGTCCCAAACAAATACTAAAACTAAAAACAAAATTTGTCCATGTGGAGACTAACAATGTACAGTAGTTCACCCCACAGATATGTGCTAGGATAGATATAGGGCCTGGGCACAGCACTGCACTTAGCCAGTCAATGCCTCTGTACTGGCGAGGGCAGGATGGTTCATTTTCTTTTCCACATTTCCATTCTAGAACAAGCAGGCATTGTTGTTTATTTACACTAGTGTATTCTTCAAGAAGCAGCTGTATTTTTATTTCAGCTGGCAGAGGAGAGCTGATTCCTATAGACAGATATCCATTTGATTTCACATACTTCACAAATAACCTTGCCCCTGATTAACTTCAGGGAAGGCTGTTGGGCTGTGTGTGAGATATGCTCCATACGCAGCTGTAAACTGCTATTCCACCGATGAGCTGCATTTGTACTAGATGAGAGACTGTCATAAGACACTTGCATTATTATTGTTAATGATCAAGCTCGTTGTTAATGATCGTGTTTATTACTCATGTGGAAAAATATTTATGCCTGTAGCATCATAGAGAGCTGGTTAGCCAGTTTGGCACTAGATGCTTTCTGCAAATGAAAACAGAGAATTTGATAACCCTTTAGATTGAAATGGGAAAGGTTGGATGGCAGGAAGCCTGAGACTGGTTTCTTCCTGTTTGCTTTAATTGTCAAGCAGTTTGAAAGAGAAACTCTGCAGTGGTTAAGAATAAAAATGAGGATCTGTTTTTATACACACACTAAATACCTCTCTTAAAAGTTACAATAAAACAACAGTAGCAAGGTATGTGGGTGTAGGTGAGACAACCAAAACCATTTCCATAAAATAAAACTCTGCTGCAATTGGAAACCAGTGCTTTTGCAATAGGATCAGAGTAATATCATTTATAATTACACACTGAAAACTAAATGGCAGGGTATTTTTACCAACTTCAGTTTCAAAACATTTTGCAAGAGTAATCACATGGAGATGTTTTAAAAGTATACAATAGAAGTATGATCTGATCTGTATGAATCAATAAAATAATCTGAGCTGCAAGTGAGTAAGTGTGGGAGCAGCAAAGGGTTCCCCTGGCCCAGCTGGTGGACTCCCCACCTTGGCCTGGTAGGCGTTGACTTTCCCTATAGGCAATTCACCCATAGATTGGGGCAGGGACAATGACTCTGTGGGAGACACCCTTGACCAAGCAGGTGCAGTCATGGTGGGCCTCCTATTTAAGGAGGACCTGTGGCTTGACACAAAAGGTGCAGCCTGCAAAAGGTCAACGAACTCTACCTAGCTACAAGGACTAGTGATCACTGCACACAAAAGACCAGCTAACAACATCCATCAATCGCAGTGACAGATAATCTCTCCCTCTTATCACAGCAATGCACCCACAACAGAAAACACGCTGATCACTACAATCACCCATCTCCTGAAAAGGACAAAAGCTGATCCCACAACTTTAAATACTCAACTATCCAAACAAACTGCACTAGAGCACAGACAGAGTTCTGACTCCTGTCCTCTGAAGATGCCGGCCACAGAGACAGGAGAAACGTTAGGAAGAATAACCTTCAGAACATGGCCAAAGAGCCCAAAAAACCCACAACAACCATTTTTAAAATTCTTTTCTTTTCTTTTACAGCTGGGGCACAACCAGTTGCAGATGCTCAGAATCACCCTGCAGGAGAAAGTCAACCTCTACCACCTGGAAGCATACCTGTACAAGAAGCTGCTAGATCAGATCATGTCCAATCTCACCCTTAACCACTTGTGCCTCAACTTTATATCATGTTTTGGGGAGGGAAGTGGGTGGGGGAAGAGGGTCAGAGACTAAAAACAATTTGGGAAACTATGTTCATTCTCATTTCACTTTCTAGTTGGCTGAATTCATATGGACTTGAAATCCTAATTAATTGTGGAGACTTTCAAAGGCACAAATGATACAAGATGAATTTTTTGTTAACAGTTGTGGATCTTTAAAGTCAAAAATGTCTATCAAAATATTCTAGTCACTGCATTTAAATAAAGAGCAGGAGCACCATGCAACTTTTCAGATATGAATATTGTTACTTGACTTCAGTGTGATTTTATCCCCTTGAAGCACTGTTTTGTTGTTCTGTAATCTGGACTCATCAATATGGGTATGGTGACAAGCTAGCAAAGATGAAGCAGAAGACAAAAGGTTCCTGTTCACAGGTCATCTTGGAAAATCTGGATTGTTGCTCATGCAAAAAACTACACATGAAGAGGACCCTTCAGATATGTCACTGGTCATGTGAGCAAAATGATAAGGGATGAGCAGAGCTAGACTCTTTCCTGTAGACCAACCAGTCTTAACAGGGGCCATATGGCACCCTGGGGGCCCCTAGCACATTTGAAGGGAGACATCAATGGAAACAATTCTTCCCACAATGAGTTTCATTATGTGACTTATACAATCCTGATTTGGCCTGGATTTCTTTCATCTTGTGTTTATGGCTGTAGCCAAAAAAGGTTGAGAATGGTCACTGTAGACAATGCTGATCATTCTGGATTACAGACCAATTAAGTAGGACTTGACTATCACTTGTGCCTTGGAAAATCTCTCCACCCCACTCATTTTTAAATTGAGTGTGCTTTTAATTATTTAAAATACATATTGGTGATGGAAAAGTTAAGAAGAGCAAACTCCTCGCTTTGTCTTGTTTTTTTGATAGGGGAGATGCTGCCAATTTCAATTGTCAGTGAGTGTAAAGTGAAAATTTGCTCCACCAAAACATTCTGCCCAGTTTCAAGCAAGTTTTGGCATATGATAATATTCTCTAAAAGTGCCAACAATGGAAAGGAGGTGTTCTAGAACTGTGGATTTTGTGAGTTCTTTGTTGCTGACTACTGACACTCTTGTTGGCCTTTGAGACTCAATGAAACTAAGCCACCTGTGATCTGATTTCAAGCAATCCTGCATTTTTTTAAAAAAAGTGTAATTGTAGGAAGGAATAATGATCATCAGTGAATATACAGTATCTTCTGTTTGCAGATGCCTGTGAATGCTAACATAAGACCCTTTCAACAGAAATTCTCTGCTCAAAGTGTATTGATTTAGTCAACTTTATTGTGCTGATTGAATGCAGTGTCAGTTGGATACATCCCCTGCAAGTCAGCTATGAAGAAGATACTTTTGTCCTCCTTCCTTTCATAATATGCCAGTTGTATTCATCCCTCTGTGAGGTATGAAATCGAGCTCTTTAGATGATGAAAAATATTTTCAGAATTAGCAAAGTCTTCTCATGGCTTTTGCTTACCTCCTGCTTTGGAAGGTTTCTTTCAAAATCATCAGTGTGTTTCAAATAGCATTTCTCAGATGCTGCAATCTGAGTTCATGCTAAAATACTCATTAATTTTACAATACTGGATATAATTACATGAATGTAAAAGGCGTGTATTTTAGAAATGGGTATTTCATGGAAGAACCAAGTTGGCATTTTCAAGAGTAATTCAAGCTTTTGGATGTAATGGTTTTGTTTTGCTTGGATCTTGGTTAAAAGCAACACATTTGTAAAATGTTTCTAGTTGCTTTCGCCATAATTTAGCACATAAAGAAGCATCTAGTTCTTCACATCTGAAACCCAGTTTACACTTTGAATGTACCTTCCAAATCCCCCCTCCCCTTTGTTGGTCTTGCATGGAATTTGATTCCAAGATTGTTGTAATAAAGACAGAGTTTCTCCAGATATCTGAAGAGAATAGCATTAAGAACTGGTGGCAAAAAATAAAGAATAAGACTTAAGCACATTCCTTTACGGAAATAATATTATTGAAAGAGGAGATAGCTAGTTTCTAAAATATTAAAACTTCAAAGCTGTTATGCAGCCATCTGTACACTTTGGAAAATTGTCATTTCTTCATGATATAATTATTCATACAGGATTTCACAGAATGAAGGCTTTTGCATAAGAAAATAAAAAACAGTCCTGCCTGGTCAAATGCTAGGGAAGATGGGTATGATGAACAAACATTTGTGTAGATTCTCTTTTCTGCACACTAGTTTTAAAATTACAACAATCTTGAATGACTTTTTCACATGTCACTATGTCATTGGTGGACTGTTTTCTTGCCCATTTTAGGGTCTATTCAGCAGGTGCGAAACACATGAGAATCCTGTGTGGGAGTTCTTCCTACGATGAACTAGCAGCTTGTGGCCAACTAGTCCTTTAATTACGTTGTCACAAATGCCATAAGTTACTGACAAAATGTGCCAAAAGCTGAATAGCTTGTGTACCAGTGAGTGCTCCTACATAGCTTTTGCACAGACAAGGAGGTAATGTGTGCAGGCTTTTCATGGAAAAAGCACCCACCCAGCAGTTTGCGGTCAAGGTTCTTTATAGTTAAAAGCAAAACAGAAATAAAAAGTAAAAAAAAAAAAAAAGAACAGATATGTGGCACGTTAAATACTTAAAATTTTTTTAAATGTGAGCTCTCGTGGACAAGTCCACTTCATCTTCACCATCCTTTTTCATCATCGTAATTAGGTTTTACTGCCTCTTGCTCTCCTTAATTCTTATCTTCATCATCAGTCAACACTCTCTTGTTTTGTGATCCTGAGGGAAGAGTGGTGGTAGAGAAATGACTCAGTGGCTTTCTGTAATTCTTGGCTTCTGTAGCACAACGTATGGTGACCTATTGGGGAAAGGAATCTCTGGCAGCTGCAACCAGCGATGATTCCTACTGGGCTGATAGTAGATGTGTCCAAGAGGCAGCAGGATAGTAATTGTGATATGTATGGCTCCATTTTTGTACTGCAAATCAACAGGAACTTTCAGAAACTGGTTTTCTGCTCTTCTGAGCAGTGGATACTTGAATCAATATGATCCATCTGCACATACTCAGATAGCAGCTTCAATAAAGGTTGTGATCCTTGCCCTAGGCTCACGTATCACTTAATACAAGTGATAAGAAATCCCTTCTGTGGTTTTTTTTTTTTGTGGCCTCACAGGTATTTTCAACCCTAAGCAGTATGCTGTTCTTTAATTTTATGTGGTAGTCATCCCTTTGTTTTAGCTTATAAATAAAATCAGATGACTAATAAAAAAGAGGAATGTTGAAATCATGTCCTTGCTCTCCCTTCAGTGGACCCTGGCGCTCCCCTTGGACAGAAGGAACACTTCTGGCTGAACTCAGCCTATGCTTTCTGCAATGCTATTCCATGCCAATGTGTATCTCAAATCAAAATAGCACACCCTGTGTCATGGGTTCCAGTGTAACCAAAGCAGGGGCAGACACATCCAAGACATCCTGAGACGGCACATTCCCACTCATCTATCCCTCTACTCCCATTCACCCCTCTTATTCTCCCTGAGCCCTGTTCTGGTCTTACCTTCACAAATAGGCTTCCCATGCTTTGAGTAGAGTGCCTACCCCTTTGTTGTTGATTTTTACACATGGAAAGTGACGTGTCTGCAGAGAAGAGGCCCCTGCTCATATGGAGGTTCTACATGTGACTCAGAACCTTGATTTTCCAGGTGTCTTACTTGCATGGAAACCTTATACACAAATAGGAATCTCATTTTGTGCAGGAAAAAAAATTGCTTTCTACATCTAATTGGTTCCCTCACGATATACTGAAGGCTAATCCCTGAACAGGGTCACTAAAAAAAAATCAGTTTTTTCCCCAGTAACAGCCTACTACTGCTCTGGGTGGAGGGTGTGTGAGACAAAATCACCGCCATGCTCCTAGAGGATGTAAAGAAAAAACTGATGCAAAGTATTTTACATCTTTTCATTTGAGTGGAGTGGGTAGACAGGGACCCTAAGTGTTGTGCTGTTGTAGGTGGCCCATAGGCTGCCTTTGTCCTGTCCTAAGCCAAAATATGTCTTGACTACATCTCATTGGAAAGATTAATAAAAGCTAATTTAGGTGTGGTCCTTGAAATAGAATTCCCTTCATTCCATTTAAATAAGTTTTTATTTTATCGCTTCAAATGGAATTACATTAATTTTGTAGAAAAAGTATTATAGGGTAAAATCAAAACTATTCCAGTGGCTTCTGCTTCCACAAATAAAATCTGCTTTTGGATTCCCCCCCCGCCCCTTTTGTAAAATCACAATGCAAGAAAACATTTCTGCTTAATTTGATGTTTGACTTTGACAGTGATTAACTTGAAACCTTTCAGTTTCCTTAGGTATACAGGAAAAGTATAGCCATTTGCAGAAGAATGAAGTACAGTCCTCACATGCAGAAGTTCCTAAGTACAATCCAACCATCTCTAGCAAGATAGAATTCAGATATTGGGGCTGGAACCCTCTTATGTTTTTACACTGGTGTATTGCAATTGGTGTAAATATTGATGGCAAATTGCTGCAAGCTTAAGCATTTGCTGTTGCATATGAAGTTGTGCAACTAAATGTGCAACAGCAAATTTCTATGCTCACATATCAATTTGCTGCTGAGATTTGCACCAGTACAGTATAGTTGTGTTACATCAGTGCACACAACTAACAGGATTTGGGCCAAGAGTTGCTTGATCAACAAAGTGGTCCATCTTAGTACAAGACAAACTATCTAGTGACTGACGTTTCACTCCTAGCATAGTGTCCTATCAATTATATAAAAGCAAATTATGCTAATGAGCATAATGCATTTAGGATGGTGGTTTGAATATGAAGATTACTGGACTTTATTTGAGACTGATAGATGTGAATCACATTTTTTTTCCACCTCACACAGCTTCATGTTGAAATATTTCTTCAGTGTAAGGTACCTCATGAAGAATGGGGAAAGGTATACATATATACAGTATCTTATATCTTTGGGTATTTTGTTGTTTAGTTGTGTCTGACTCTTCGTGACCCCATGGACCAGAGCACGCTAGGCCCTCCTATCTTACACTGCATCCCGGATTGACAACATGTGTCAAATTCATGTTGGTCACTTCGATGCCACTGTCCAACCATCTCATCCTCTGTCGTCCCCTTCTCCTCTTGCCTTCACAGTTTCCCAACATCAGGGTCTTTTCCAAGGAGTCTTCTC